GTGTCAAAGTCAAAGTCAAAGCAAGTTCAATCAAACCATAATTGATCCTTAATGAAATGGCAGTGGGCCGGTCACATTTGTCGAAAAACCGATAGCCGTTGGGTTAACGTGTTCTAGAGTGGAGACCGCGTCTGGGCAAACGCAGTGTAGGGCGCCCTCCAGCTAGGTGGAGTGACGACATCTGCAAGGTGGCTGGCAGTGGTTGGATGAGAAGAGCTGAAGACCGAGCTCAGTGGCGTGCCATAGGAGAGGCCTATGTCCAGCAGTGGACGAAAACAGGCTGATGATGATGAAACCATAATTTGGTACTTTTGAAACGTCAACAAATACACAATAAAATATAACAGTCCGTCAGGGAAGTTAGGTGCTCATTCCAAAATGTAGATTCGAATGGAGAAGAACGAGCAAGAAAATCCTATCAATCTCTTCCTGACTAAACACCACTCAGTTCCTACTCCTGCATAGAACCGGAGTCCCGGTAACCACTCGTTAAGTTGTCCGCAGCTCCTGTAGTTGTCTGGCTTGCAGTCTCAAAAACACTGTGTACCAAAAATAAAAGTGTTTCTATGTAAAAGAAGTTTCTATGTAAAAGAACTTGAAATCATATAGCTTCACCAGAGAGACACATTAAGGAAAGTACTTTAAAAAAAATCACTTGAAAATAAGTACAGTTTTTAGTAATTAAACGAAAATATATGTTGTCGTTAAATTTTTACCAAGTTAGTGTTGCCTTATTTATTTATTTCATTCCGTATGTGAAAATAATAAACAACAAGAATATATATAGCATTACTAACTACAGTTTTTTTTTTCATTTCATTCCATCATTTAATTTAAACATTTCATTATTTCTTTTCTGTCGAGAATCGAATCCAACAGTACTTGCGACTATTAAAGCAAGCCCTCCAGATCCTCCCAAAACCGCTGCAACTCCTGTGCCCCAGGATCTACAGTAGATACAACCATGCAAACACCGGAACACTTAACTCCACCGTAACAGACTCCCAGGGACAGGAACAACAGTCTTGTATCAAGCAATGAAATATATTATTAGAAGTTCGGTTGTTAGTCGCACGGAGCCCCAAAATACAAGTAAACCTCACTTCCATTAGGTTTCGTGGCTAATTTCTTTGATCGCTAAGTTTTTATAAAACAAAAGTTGGTGTAAAGTTGTACACTTTTTGTACAACATAGAAAGTTATGAATGATTGGAGCTATTCAGAATCATCTTGTTGATGGGATTTTGACATACTAATGTATTTTATTTATTGATGAATATAAAATGAATGTAAATTAGAATGATTGTTGCCTAATAACCAAGAATATTGTATTGTGACTGCCTCGTTGACCGAGTGATCGCAAGTGCGACTCGGCAGGAGGTCTCGGGTTCGATTCCCGGGTCATCATCATAATCATCGAATGACTTCTCCCACCGGAGTGAGGCGGGAGGGAGTGTTACGTAGTACGTTCTCCTGCGCTTCGAACCGGAGTAACCCGTTAGGTTCTCCGCGACTCCGAATCGGCATCAGCCCTGTTGGGCCCCATCCGTGGTGGGGCAACGAAGCCATCAGCATTTTTTCTATTTCAAATCTTGATAAATATTTTGTGATACAAGTATTTTATTAATCGGTAACGTAAAAGGCAATTTAGTTACGTTTAAAATGAGAACAATTTGTTGTTTTTTTTTACATATTTTTGATGGGCCGACGTTTGTCCACTATCTCGCCTGGTGGTGTACCATGATGCGGTCTACGATAGTACACGTCGTCCCATAAGCAACCTATTCTCTCAGGCCTTGAAGACATCCAGGTTATAACCCTTCAGGAAATACAGACTCTGGCAAAGAATTCCACTCCTTAGCAGTTGTAAAAGAAATATTTTTATAACGTTATAAAATGTTCGATAAAATAAAAAATTACCCCCCTAGTCTCCCGAATCCCCGAATCCTCCACAATCCTCAAATTCCCAATTCCCAAAAGGCCGGTAACACACTTGTAACGCACTTGTGACGCCTTGGTGTTGCGGGTGTCCATGGGCGACGCCGATTGCTTACCATCAGGTGATCTGTCTGTTCGTTTACCGGCCTATGCTATAAAAAAAAAAAACGCTAGTTGGTTTCTTTGCACTCGATTGTATCATATTTGTATTCTTACTTAGCCGACTTCTTTTTAATAGTAATGTTAGGTGTCTTACTTTCAACAGGGCTGTCCACACTATGTACCGTCGCGGGCTAATTAATTTTCTTACAAAAGCTGTAGTGCCAGAAATATATTTTCAGTATTAATAACTACATAAATATTTACAACTTAAAATTAACTACAACTAAACTATTAAATAAAAAGAAAGTAAAAGAAAACAACAAAAATTATACCCTTAATTTAGGCGTCAAAGTATTCGTCCGCATCACTATCACTGGGGAAAGTTCCCAGAAGACTGGCAGCATTGCCACGTTGAATGGCAATGCTTATTTTCTGTCCGAAGAAAAAGCCAGCCCTCTGGTCACGAGTAGAGTCGATTAGCCTACGGGCGATGTCTTTAAACACAGAGTGTGCACTGGGACCCCATGGCCCAAGTGTTTCGACCCCAAACGGCTCAAAACAGTAGTTACCCACTAGATTTGATATATAGATTTTCAGTTATATTATGACGTTTAACATTGTATTCTTTACTCACAGACTGAAGTTTTAGACAAATCCTACACTGAATTTTGTTATTATTGTTGCACATAAGATGAAAATGTTGAGATAAAAGTGTGTGTCGCGGGCCACAGGAAAACAATGGCACGAGGCCTTTGTTTGGACAGCCCTAGCCCTGCAGTTTACAACATAAAACAAATACTCAACCCAGACTATAACTAGATTCTAGTGCCCAAAACTAGATCTTAGACCACAGTTAGTGAAACTTTAACTATGTAACAGTAATTTGAAAGTACAAGTAAGTGGTAGGCAGAGGTGCACATTACGGCACTTAATGCCATTGTACAATGTAACACCCACTTTTCACTATTTATGTTATGAGTCCCATGTAATAGAGGGTGAGTCTATTGCCATATACCGGGCACAATTCCAGACTCTGTGCTACTACTGAATTTTTTTTTAAAAGCAGTAATACTTTGCCCGGCCCGATAATCGAACCCGAGACTCCTTGCCCGGCACTCGTATTTGTGACCACTCGGCCAACGAGGCTATTAGAAAAGATCATTCCAAATAACTGTGTAAAATAGTATTGTATTAAGTTTGATATGGAAAGGGGTAGGCAGAGATGTACTTACTTCTAAATGACCCACTTTTTTGCTAGTTGTGGTTAAGCTATAAAACCAAATGTTACAATTTGTATAAGTACATCAATAGAAGAAAGAGTTAAACTGTACCTTAGGTATTATTGCTTACTTTAAACTAGTTAATGTTACTTTTTCTCTCCCCGGAAATCGAACCCTACTCCTGCTCCACAATAGCACTTGTAACCACTCGAGCATAATATTATTAAACATTCAATAACTATAAAAATATCGCCACAATTTCCAAAAAGAGGGTAGACGAAAAAACAAAAAATTACCTGTCACCTGCATTATTTAAAATAAGAACATAAAACAAGTCGACCGTTAAATAAAAAAAACGGTTAAAACAATAAAACGTACAAATATTCAAATTTCGAATTCAAAGTTCAATGTTGCCCAATATAAAGTATAAAAAGAGTTCTAAAATAAAAATAAAATTTATTGTTTATTAATTTTTATGGAACACTTTTGAAGTTAGTAAAGTTAGAATGTCGGTGTAAAAGAATGCGGATGGTAAGTTTGTTACCTGATCTAAAATCATATAAAGGAAGAGTTGTCTGTTTCTGTTAGACAAAAAATATAAAAATTACTTTTATTTTCTTTTGTGGGACTGACCGTTGGAGCCGTGAACCGTGGAGCCGAACTTAGACGGAATTATACGAAGTTGCACGAGCGCGCGATGAAAGTTGAATTTTCGGGTTGCCACGTTATTAGGTAACTTTTGAATTAGTATTTCTTTGAAGTTGTTATAAATTAATTTTAAAATTACGTGCAATGACGAATGATTGGAAATGTGTTTATTTAAACATAATAGTGCTCCTTCATAACTAATTTACAGTAAAATACAAAATGACTTAAGAACTAAATTATTCATTAACTACTTGTAGTTAAACGTAGTTTATTGGAATTTATTGTAATTTATCTTGATAAATATTTTTTTGTAATTTATCAAGATAAATTTCAATAAATTCCAATAAACTACGTTTATATAAAGTCTGTTAACATACCAAAACCTGCTGCTAAATGTAAGAAGCACTTTTCTGAAAACCGCATCAAAATCGGTTTAGTTAATCACGAGACAATCGTGGACTAATATACATACATACAGATAAAATTAACCACCTACTTTATTTTCTAAAATTGATAAAAAAAAAAATACGCCACTATAATTAACTACTTCTTATTTGGTTTTCGATTATTATTCGATTTACTTTCTTTATTATTAAATTTACATTATTAAATTAGGTAATATTGTGTAAAATGAATATAATATAATTCTATATCTGAAAAATTAAATTCATTTACTTATTCATTCTATGGAGAACATTAGAGGACTAATTTATTTTATACAATCATTCTTCTAACTGACTAAATAATTTAGTAGTTTACATGGAATGTATTTCATAACATTATTAGTGAAAAGTGGTGGTACATTGTATTCTACTACTCTTTTAGGGATAAGAGGCGTAATGAATGATATAAAAACAATACCAAATTTTTTCTATTAAATTATTAACAATAAATATTTACATAAAATTTTAACACAATGATTAACGAAAATATATTTATCACAAATAAGATACAAAAACACTAACCACAACTATTTGAAAAATCGTTAAACTTATACTAAAAATAAATTGTACAATTCTCGAACGTACGTTTAATCGTCACTGACGCTGACAACACAGCTTATCTTTTTTTTGCCGAGCCAGTTCCACTGTGTCGTTCGTTGGGAGACCACGCGTCGCTCCCTGTCCGCGGTCCGTGATACTTTTACGTGGTGGTACAAAACCGGTTGGGAAAGTGCTTGAGGTGTGGCGTGGGCGAACAGAACAGTGCCGCGTTCAACCATAAAATACTCTTGTTACAGTTCCAAAACTACACTTTTTGTGTTTGAAAATTAACTTTTGTAGTGTTTTGTGTGTAATCGGATCCCTGCGCTATCAATCGAGGTAATCAAAATACAGATAATAAAACTCTTTTGTTATCATTTCGTTTCTTAGTAACGAACCTCTTTACAGTGAAGTCGTATAGGTGTCAAAAAGCCGGTTACTTTTGCCACTTTTATGTTTATTGAAGAAAAAACCGTAATTTCAAGATGGCAACGGATTTTGCAATTTGCGCAAAAGTCGACTGAATTGATTTCGATTATTGAAACAAATATTTGAAGTTTAATCATTAGATTGGAATGTCTTTGTTCCGCGTACGCCTTTTACATGATTTTCGAATGTTTACCAATCTTATTTAATGCTCCAAAGTTAGTATTTCGCAATATTACGTGCAATCTAGTTGGAGGTAGTTTCACAAAGTGCTAACTTGAGTTTTTTACGTTTTCTCGCTTGCTTACTTCAGCCCACGTTGCAAATACGGCAAGTAGGAGGATTCTAATTTGCTTATTTACCATTATAGAACTTCCTTGTCTAAATAAAGAATAATAAATATACGTTTTGGGTGTGTCTTGAGTTAGAATATATTTTTACGCGCGTGACTGTGGCATCGAGTAAAATTAATTAAAGGTTTTCAGTTTATCTGGCTGGTAGTCGGTGAAAGTCTATAGAAGTTCGCCTGTTCTAGTCGCAATACGGTTAAACTTTCTCTGTAAGTACTTATTTGAACTTAGACGGGGTTTATCTAAGTTTTATCGTAGACTGGAACGTTTAACGTATCTTTGAGCACTTATCGATATTTTGATGAGCTTTTGCAGACATGCATATCGTTATCTTAGGAACAATGTAGCTTGACATTTGCTAGATATCATTCATTTAACTGTACTTTAGAGTCTTTGACGGCAAACTGGCTGTATCAAAATGAGCATGGATTATGGATACATAGTACTTTAAGTAGGTAGATAAGAATTAAACGATACAAGTTATATTTTTACGAGTCACCGGTTTTCCTCACAGACATTAGCTATTTAATATTGGGTAGGTAGCTATCATTTCGTACGTTACGGACACGTGTAAGATGTGAATTTAAATTGTATCCCTTTATTTTAGCTTAGAACTGAAAGTTAAACATTTTTGTATACGGTTTTAGATATTTGAATGCCGTTGGCTCAGTGGCTTGGTGACTGAGTCTTGCACAACTTGTCGTTTCTTTCTGTAGTCAGATCCACAAAGGGAATCCTAGTATGTGAAAATCACCGAACACAGGCTTTTTCTACCGTATGCATTTCGGTGAGTGTGCGGGGGAATTGCACAACTTGATTCCCCCTAGTCCCTTCCATCATCGTACCACAAGACAATCGGCGAAGCGTCACCGATTCATGGTAGATGTCTCACCCACACGCACGAAGCGCTTCGCATCAAGCTTCCTTGTGCGTACTGCTAAGAAGTGGAATCTTTGCCAGAGTCTGTATTTCCTGAAGGATGTATTCAAGGCCCGAGTGAATAGGTAACTTGTGGGACGACGTACTCCATCGTAGACTGCATCATCGTACCACCAGGCGAGATAGTGGTCACACGTCGGCCCATCAAATATATAAAAAAACGTTTCCCTTAGGTACCTATTTAGTTCTAGAAAAATAAGCAGTTGGGTATCTATGCAACTTTCCAGGTTCTAGTGTTACTTGCAAACCTAGGTTTTAGCTAAATCTAACATTGAATAGATGTAAATACGGTATATGGTACCTATCTAGATACATGTACCTAGGACATTAATAAAACAAAACTATCGTAGCCTAACGTTCGTAGAACACGCGACTGCCAGACGTAAGTCGGTTACATAGTGACTGGGCAAGTACCTAGGTATTGCAATAGCTAAGCTATTACGGCTAGGTTATGTAGGTAATCATAATACGTTGGTACACAGGTTTAGTAGGTAGCATATTAATAATCTACCTAGGTACCTACTGTAGCTGTTATTCACGGCTTCAACGGACGTAGCGTGAATGGGTACGGTAGGGCCGATTTTTTCAACTCCAGATAAATTTTAACTGAAGAGTAACTCTGAATATTTGACAATTCTTCTGTACTAAAAACTGTCAAATGTCAATATCATTGTACTAGACTAATAGGCATACTTTCGCATTTATAACATTTGTAAAGGTACTAGGAAACTATAAATTTGTAAGTAGTTATAAAACATTGATTAGAAGGTTTATAAAATCGAGTACCAGTTGTGTCATTGTTACAGTTCGTATTACAGATTGAGCGCGTACATTGATTTCGTACTTTATAATAGGGATGATGACAGGGTATGAAAATTAAAAAAGTAATTAGTCCGTCAGTTAGGTAATAAAAAAATATAAGACACTAATTTTTTTATTTTGTTGTATAATAAAATAATATACGTACTTAGATAAAACGAATCAAAGTTTAGGAGTGTGGGCTAAAATGTCATTTCTACATATAAACATAGAAGTGTCGCGTCGTCACGCGACATTTCAAATCAATACATCGTCGAAAAAAAAATATAAAATACGTGTCTAATGATTTAAAATAATCTATCAGACGGACATTAAAATAAAAATTGGTCATCTACCATATTGCACAAAGAAAGTTTAATCTACTGCAATATTGCATTGTTATAATGCAGCGCTCTTAGATCAAAGTCAAAGCATTTAATGGTTAATTAGGCACTTTTAAACGTCAAAAATTTTAATGTCCGTCCGTCTGTCTCTCACAGCTAGGCGCTCGTTCCAAAGTGTACATAGTTTCGAATGGAGAAGAGCGAGCAAAAAAAGATAAACCTTAACCTTTTAATCTACGATTTTCAACCTACCTGCGGAGATTATGACAATCTCTCTTATGTAGAGGAGGCTCATAGTGCAGCATACATTGATGAAACGATATAATTATGAAGCTAAATTTTCTTAATAATATTTTACTTAAATCCGTAAAACTTGTGGTTGTGTATCTGTTTGTTTTTGAACCACGTCAAAACGGCTGAAGGGATCGGGAACAGAAGCAGATTATCTCTCGAATAACACATCCAGTGTCGATGAGCCATGCTTCGGCACGAATGGGCCGGCTCGACCGGAGTGATACCACGGCCGAGCAGAAAACCGACGTCAAACAACGCTTGCGTTGTGTTTCGTCGTGTGAGTGAGGTTACCGGCCCAATCCCTGAATCCGCAACGATCCTCAAACTCCTATTTCCCAAAAGGCCGGTAACGCACTTGTAACGCGTCTGGTGTTCCAGGTGTCCATGGGCGACGCCGATTGCTCACCATTCGGTGATCCGTCTGCTCGTTTACCGGCTTATTAAATAGAAAAAAAAACATAGGTAGCTTTTTATTCGAGACTGCGTGCGAAGCCGCCGGCAGAAGTTAGGCGAGAAATGAAGGTGTATAAAAGGTACCTATGTTATGTATCTTTATTATAGGTTGGGTAAATAAAGTTAGTATTTGATTTTTATTAACATTAAGGTACCTGCCGGCCGGCTGACCCGAAAATTCCGAGCCGACGCAATCTGAATTTGCGGATTTGCGAAAGATCGTAATCAAAGCACCGGTACTGGTTCACCCGTTACATGTGAAATTGTCGAATCATTTACGATACGACAAGAAAATGATTTTATGTAAATCAGTGCAGTTGTTCTAGAATTCTGCGGTAACATAAATTTTGTTTAAAAAAAATATCACTAGGTCAAAAAATATATTTTTTTATGAATTCATCTCCTAAATCTTAGTCAAGAATCAAGAACTTAGTATCTACTGCTGAAAGCCATATGTGGTTAGCGTGAAAAGACAGATTCTTGGAGTAAAACCCTTGTAGGTATTTAGCAGTCCAGCTGTTGATGATCATGATGAGTTATACACAGCAATTAAACGTTGTTTTTAATAGTAACTAGCTTCTGCCCACAGCTTCGCCCACGTCCAGTGGGATAAAAAGTAGTTTATTAGTTATTCCAAACCATAATCTATCCCTGTGCCAAATTTCATCCCGATCCCTTCAGCCGTTTTGATGTGATTTAGTAACAAATATACTCACGAACAAACAAACTTTCGCATTCATAACAATAATAATTATTAATTCATATTAATATTGTGTCCGGTATATTATGGCAATAAGTTCACCCCCTATTACATAGGACTCATAACATACTTAAATAGTGAAAAGTGGGTGTTACATTGTACAGTGGCATTAAGTACTGTAATGTGCACCTCTGCCTACCCCTTCGGGGATAAAAGGTTATATAATAATAATAACTACGTAAGAATATTTGTGTGACGATTTCCGATGATCTAACATTGCAAATAGACAATTTTGTGGTAATTCTAGGATATAGTGACCACAACGATCATTACTTTACTATGGTCGATTCGTCATAGGTATAAAAATGATAAAGTAATTCTTAGATGGATGCGGTTTCTAGCCATTTGTTTAGATGAGACATCTATTAATTAAATCCAACAATAACTATACGTAAGACTAAAATCTTTGGTTATAATTAAAACCTTTGTTAGTCCAGTGGGTGTCGTAGAAGTTAAGGGACCGCATAGATACATCATACATTAACAGCCTTAAGTAGCCACCGCTAACCAAGGCTCCTCGCACGGAGGTTTGAGCATTACCACGCTTGCTCAATGCGAGTTGGCGATTTCAAATTTATAATTAGAAATTATAAGTCCAGGTTTCCACACTATGTTTCTCTTCACCGTTTGTCAGTGGTGTCTAGATAATCTTAGAAAGTACATATAACTTGGAAAAGTCACATTGGTACTTTCTGTTGGTACTTTGGTAGGTTTCGAACTCGCACACTCGTGCTTGAGAAGCGGGCGTCAAAAACCTCCGAGCCACCACGACAGCGAGATTGAGGCACTACACATTAGACAGAGACCGGGCAGCAGCGCTCTCTGATAAACCTGAACCTTTTATACTGCTATCTCCAAGCCACCTGCTAAGTGCCAAGATTATGGCAAACCCTCTCATGTAGAGGAGGCTCATATCAATGGTCCAGCAGTGGAATGTTATTAACATATTTATTTAAGGAATGAAACAGATCCACG